AAAGACAGAAGGTATCTCAAACACATACTGCTGAAGCAAAAATGTCTAAATGTTAACAATAGCTGAACCTAGGGGCTGAGATGACAATAATACCACAGTTAACTTTTGAATAATATGTTGAAAGAATATTTAATAGTACATAACAGCACCTAATAAAAGCAAAATCTTCCATACCCCAAAGTCACTAGGTCAGTATCCTCTGGGACGACTTCCGGATCCTCGCCTTCCTTAAGGCACTTCAGTTTATCAAGGCTAAAAGGAAAACACAAAGGAAAAGCAATCCTTCATCTGGTCCGTAGAGAATCAGGGTTGTGTCCTAAATACATCACCGAATAATTAAGAAGTCAGATAAAACCCAGCAGGCGGCTCTGAGGAGGCTAGAATGCAAAGTAATGATTTCTGGGCGTATATCTTTTAAAGAAACGGATATAAGGCCGACAGAAGAAGGCTAATACTGTGTTATGTAGAGGAAAAAAAAATTTTTAAAGTTATTTTTGTATTTTCACCCCAAAAAAGGCACTTTGAGAGAAAATTTCAGTAATATACCCGGGAGGTCCTCAAAAGAGACAAAAGTAAATCACAGTTTTAACACTCCTCTGGTCAAATCTCCTTCCAACCTCACTCTTACTTAGGTTCCTCTATTGTCAAAGCGTCTGTCAATGGCAGGTACACGTCGCTGTTACTCTGATTGTTTTTCTACCTCAACAAGCACTTTAAACATTAGCGAACAGAAAATTAATCCTTTATGCAGCTCTCTCGTACCTTCACGCTAACTCGTAGAAATCGTGCATTCCGATCACGGGTCTTCTCCCGATGTTCCGGGAAAGCGCCAGGAGGCTGAAAGCTTTGAAAGGGAAGTCCATCTACCCCAGAAGTAAACCACAGGCCCTCCCAAAGAAGCGCAGGAGCAAGGCGGCACCCGGTTTGGGCCCAAGCAGCAAGAACCCCTCAGCCCCGCACTCACCCACAGATTGTCCTCAGTTCGGCCGCCGCCTCCAGGCTGCAGCCCAGATCCCGGGCCACCGCGGCATCCTCCCGGCCGGAGTCGGCGACCCCGCCGAGCCCAGGCAGCGCGGATGCGGGCAGCTCCTTTAGCGACAAGTCCCCTTGTCCACGCAGCCGGCCACGCCACAGCTCCCCGAAGGCGCCCACGTGGAAAACGCGCGTGTTTAGATCGGGAAGCTCGTACTCTGGAAAGTTGCAGCCGCCGCTGCTGGGGATCGTGTCCTGCCTGCCGCCCACCCCACTGCACGTTGGGACGCCCCGGCTGCCTTCAGCCATGTTCGTCCTGCTCCCTTCCCTACAAAAGCCGAACGATCAAGGCCTCGCGGGGCGTGCTGGGACTTGTAGTTGCACGTGGCCCACGCTAGCGAGCAGCAGGACTGCGCAAGCCGGAATTCAGACACTACATTTCCCGTCAGGTCGCAGGTCAGGCCCGCCCCTGGGCGCGGCACCGCAAACCTCAGCGCTCAGAGCTAAGCGCATTGTTCTCCTGCTGGGGCGGTGCGGTGAGCAGTTGCGGCTTTTCATCCAGCGCAGCGTGTAGCTTTTGGTTCTCGGCTCCCAGTTACGTAGCATCGCTCTCTGCTGGGTGGGGCCGCCTCGCCTCGTCCTTGAGTCTGACTTTTTGCCTTCCCCTCGAACCCCCGCTTCGGAATGCAGAGCTTTTCCTTGACTCCAGAGTTCGTGGGCTGCGTTGTTGTCGCACTGCTCCAGAACCTGAGAGAGATGGGGGCGAGGATTGAGATTTGGCGACACAACCTGCCCTTCAAATAAGGTTCCTTCAGGACCTAGCCAATGGCTTCTTGTTCGCGAATATATGTAGGTATACATTACTGCCCACACAAATTTATTAAGCATCTACTGTTTTTCAGACATCATACGTTATTAACTCCAATGTCACAGCAACCTTTCTAGGATTCCTATATTGCTATTGAAGATGGCGTTATCTAGTAGAATGTAGAAGCAAGATCAGAACTCTATCTAGTTTCAGATTGAGCTTCGTCTATCTTTCAGAGGACCCCAACGGCAGTAGCAGGACTAGAGAACTAGTGTGGTGAAATATGGTTCACGTGTCATATACTTCCCCCATTTGAAGTATTCATTCCATGGGTTCTACTATTTTTGTACAGAATTGTGCCATAATGAATTTAAGAACATTTTGACCACTCACAAAAGAAACTCTGAGCCTTTTAGCTATCATTCCCAATCTTCTTAACTCCTCCAGCCCTAGCCAACCACTAATTTTCCTGTGTCTATAGATTGACGTATTCTGGACATTTACCGTAAATGGAGTCGTGTGTGATCTTTTTGTGACCAGCTTCTTTCAATTAACAATATTTTCAGTGTTTATCCATATTGTAACATGCATCAGTACTTCATTCCTTTTGATGACTGAATAATATTGGATTATATGGTTATACCATATTTTTGTTATTTTAGATTTTATTACAGATGGTTTTATTTTTCTTTTTTTAATATCTTTTATTTGGTAATCACTTAATTCTTTTTTAAAGTAAATTTTTAAGTTTTCAATTACAGTTGGCATGCAATATTATATTAGTTTTAGGTGTACAACATAGTGATTAAACATTTATACAACTTAAGAAGTGATCACCCTGGTAATTCTAGTACCATCTGACACCATACATAGTTATTATAATATTATATATTATATTCCTTATGCTATATTTTATATTCCCATGACTATTTTGTAACTACCAATATGTATCTCTTAATCCCCTCCCCTTTTATACACCCCCAACACTCTTCCCATCTGGCAACCATGAAAATGTTCTCTGTATCTATGAGTTTCTGTCTTGTTTGTTTATTTTGTTGTCTAGATTCCACATGTAAGTGAAATCATATAGCCTTTATCCTTCTCTGACTTACTCCACCCAGCACAATACCTTCTAGGTCCATCCACGTTGTTGCTGATGCAACATTTCATTCTTTTTTATGGCTGAATAATATTCCATTATATATATGGACCACCTCTTCTTTACCCATTCATCCATTGATGGACAGCCAGGTTGCCTCCATATCTTGACTTTTGTAGATGATGCTACAGTGAACACATGGATCCATGTATCCCTTCAAAGTGGTGTTTTGAATTTGTTTTGATAAATACCCAGAGGCGGGATTACTGAGTCCTTCTTTGTTTCTCATTATAGCCTTTGTAAAGTTTGTTTTGTCTGGTATAAGTATTGCTTTTTTTTTTTTTTCCATTTTCATTTTTATGAAATATCTTTTTCTATCTCCTTACTTTCAGTGTCTTTTGACCTGAAGTGAGTCTCTTGTAAGCAGCATCTGTAAGGGTTTTGTTAGCCCCCTCAACCACCCCAATTTTGTTTGGAACATTGAACAATTTATGTATAAAGTAATTGTTGATAGATATGTAGTCATTGCCATTTTATTATTCATTTTTTTTTAATCTTTTTTTTTTTTCTTCTTAAAGAATTCTCTAACATTTCTTGTAACTGGTTTGGTGGTGATGAACTTTAGTGTGTTTTGTTTTGTTTTTGTCTGGGAAGTTCTTTATCTGTTCTTTGAATGTAATTGATAGCTTTGCTGGGTAATCTTGGTTGTAAGTCCTTCCTTTTCATCACTATGAATATTTTGTGCCAGTCCTTTCTAGCCTACAACGTTTCTGTTGAGAAATTGGCTGACAGTCTTATGGGAGTGCCTTTGTAGGTAACTAATTGCTTTTCTCTTGCTTCTTTTAAGATTCTCTCTTCGTCTTTCACCTTTGGCATTTTAATGATGAGGTTTCTTTGTGTGGGCCTCTTTGTGTTCATCTTGTTTGGGAATCTGTGCTTCCTGGATTTGTATGTTCATTTGCTTCGCTAGGTTAGATAAGTTTTCTGTCATTATTTCTTCAACTAGGTTTTCAATTCCTTGCTCTCTCCTCTTTCTGGTACCCCTGTGATGTGAATGTTTGTATGATTGATGTTGTCTCAGAGGCCCCTTATACTATCCTCATTTTTTTGGATTCTTTTTTCTTGTTGCTCTTCTGATTGGGTGTTTCCTGCTACCTTACATTCTAAATCGCTGATTCGATCCTCTGCTTCATCTAATCTACTGTGGAGTCCCTGTAATGGATCCTTCATTTCAGTTATTGTATTCCTCACTTGTGACTGGTTCTTTTTTGTTTTTTATCTTCATTTTTATGTTTTCTATCTCTGTTACTGTCCTCACTGAGTTCATCTACTCTTCCCCTAAGTTCATTGAACATGGCTATAACCAGTGTTTTGAACTCTGCATCTGGTAGATTGCTTGCCTCCACTTTGTTCAGTTCTTTTTCTGGAGCTTGTTCAGTTCTTTCATTTGGGACGTTTCTTTGTCTCCCCATGTTAGCTGCCTTCCTGTATTTGTTTCTATGTATTAGGGAGGGCTGCTATGTCTCCCAGTCTTGGTAGAGTGGCCTTATGTAGTAGATGTCCTATGGGGCCCAGTGGTGCAGTCTGCCTGGTTACCTGAGCTGGGTGCTCCAGGTATGTTGTTTGTATGGGTTGTGTGTTCCCTTCCTGTTGTAGCTGAGCCTTGGTTGCTGTTTGCACGTCAGTGGGAGGGATTGAGCCTCAGGCTGATTGGTTGTGAGGAATGGCCTGTGAGGGGCAGACCCTACAGAGCAGGATTCACTTTAGCAGGCTCTGGTGCCTGCCCAGTCTTCCCTTTGGGTGTGTTGTCCTTTGATTTGGCCCTAGTGGTGCTCCAGCTCAGTCCAAAGCTGGCCACCAGGTATGCTGGCCCCAGGGTCTTCTGGGAAAGGCCTTGTCAAAGGCCCAGTTCAGCTACAGCCTGTACCCTGCCAAGGGCCACCTGACTGAGCCACCAAGAAATCTGCAGATGGCCATCACCTGAGCTGAGCTTGAAGATTCCTCAAGAGGCCAAGCCATGAACTGAGGCCAGCTGCTGCTAGTGCTGGTCTTGGGGCTGCTCAGCAAGAGTTATGGGGTACACTGAGGCTAAATGCTGCTTGTTTGGGTTTTTGAATCTTTGAGAAATTTTAGGAAAGTCTGCAGTATTGCCAGGACAGGCTGTTTGTATAGAAAAGCTACTGGAAGCAGTTTGGGTAGGTCTGCAAATTGGGTGGGGTGAGGGCTCAGGGAATTACTTGGGCAGGGCGACCAGTGATAGTCAGGTTGATGGATACTCATATGTGGTGGCCACCTACCTCTGCAGGCTGGTTTGGGGGAGGGCCAATAAAGAGACAGCAGTCATTGCCAGCACTTCTGTCTGGGAGAAAGCTGCTCCTCCAGCCCTTACCCTGAAGCCAGACAATCTAGTTCCTGCTCATATGTCCCTGGAGCCTTTTGAGCTGCTGTCCCAGTACTGGAGCTCCGAGTGATTGAGTTCATCAGCAAGTAAGTTCATGTGAGGGCCCTTTAAGAGGGCACCTGTGAGTCCAGCTGCTCTCCATCTCACTCAGCTACAATCTCTGCTGGTTTTCACAGCCAGAAGTTGTAGGGACTCCTCTCTCCAGTTCTGGAACCCTGGACTGGGGGACTTGGTGTGGGGCTGGGACCACTCACTCCTTAGAGAGTACCTCTACAGCCAAGATATCCCTCCCAATTTTTAACCACCACATGGAGGTGTGGGACCAGCCCATTTCATGTCTCCACCCATCCTACCAGTCTCGACATGGCTGCTTCTCTGTGTCCTTAGTTGTAGAACTTCTTTTCAGCTAGACTTCAGGCAATTCTCATTGATGGTTCTGTAGTTTAGTTGTAATTTTGATGTCATGAAAAGAGGCAAGTAGTGTTTACCTGCTCCACCATCTTGACCAGAAACCTCATTGGATGTACCATATTTTGTTTTTGCATTCATCAAAAGGTTGTTTCCACTTCTTGGCCATTGTGAATAATGCTGCTACGAACATTTCTGTACAATTTCTATGCAGACATATTTTTATTTCTCTTGGATATACCTATATATATCTGTATCTATTTCTATTTCTGTATATCTATCTAGGAGTGAAATTGCTGGGTCACATGGTAACTCTATGTTAAATAATTTGAAGAACTGTCAGACTGTTTTCTAAAGTAGCCGCCCCAGTTTACACTCCTACCAGCATTGTATGAGAATTCTGATTTCTCCACCTCCTTTTCAACACTTGTTATTATTTGAGTTTTTCATCATAGCCATCATAGTGGGTGTGAAATGGTATCTTGTGGTTTTGATTTGCATTTCCATGATGACTAATGACACTGAGCAGCTTTTGATGTGCTTATTAACCATTCGTATACCTTCTTTGGAGAAATGTCTATGCAATTCCATTGCCCATTTTAAAAGAAGGTTATATGTGTTTTTATAGAAGCCTCAGT